TTCAGCCTTACAAGCAGCTGTACTGTGTGCTGGTTTATTACTTTGCAAGTAGTAGTATGGGTGTATTCAAAGAACCAATGCGCACCTACTGCCCAAATTCTGTAATAGCACAATTATAATCACAGAGTTCAGTTCTCTGTATTTTAAACGGGAGATCAATCTCAAATTTTGAAACAAGAATTCTCCAGAGAGGGATGATGACTGCTATTTTTATCACCACTAATGTGGTGTTACCACGTTGGGGAAACATGGGGAAACCACACACAGCAGCACACAGCAGTCCCTGCTCCAAACAGTTTGTGTTCCAAGTCATGAATAAGTAACTGCAAGTGGACACATGGGGGAAAATGGAAAGAAAAAACAAAACAAAACAGTAAACTTTAAATATGAGAACCATATATAGAGTGAAATTATGAAGATCTAGAATTAAAGTCCCATACCACTCTCGAGATTTGTTTTCCCAGGATAACTTGTAACATTTCTGAGGGCTCCCCACCTTGCTTTTTCTCATCTTGAAATCTAACACTTCCCGTGCCCAATTCCTTTCCTCCTATCCATTGCAAGGATATTTTTAAGGACAGTTTAATCTGAAGGGAGAGAGGAACAAGAAGCCATTTGGAAAAAGGAGGCAGAATATGAAAACAAAGCTGAAAGAAAAGCATTCCTGTGTCCCAAATGCATTGCTTAGTTTTCACATTTGGGTCATTCCAAAGAAGCAAATGAACCAAGCTAGAGGAATTTGGCATTTCACTGGTGGTTGGTACAAAGAAAACGGAAGTTAAAAGAGATTTTAAAAGGTAGAAGGAGTAGGGAAAGGGAAAGAGAAGGAAAATAGAAGCTTCCACAGGCTGGTAAATTTAACTTTTCTTTAATTACATCATGTCTAACTTTAAATTACATTTAATTTTCAAATCCCCAGTACAGCATGAATGGGGAAGGATTAATATTGACTTTGTTGTTGAGTTCACATTCATGTATTTATTCGTGCACCATCAGAAAAGTGCTTTCAAAGTTTGTCCTTCCTTTCTGTAACTGTAGCTGCAGACATTTTGGACTGCATGTGAGATTTAGCTAGCTCCGTGTCTGAGTGGCTTGGTTTCTGCTTCCAGCTATTTATTGTAACAGACATCTGGAATGTATTTCATTTCAGCACTGTTGTACAGCATGAAAACTGTGTTTTTTTACTTAACGTTGTTTTTTTAGCTGACCTAAACTAATGAGATGAAGGGGGAAGATCTTCACCAAATGCCTTCAGCGGAGCTACAACATCTTGCCCTGACTTTGTTAATTTGCTCAGTCTATCATTACTTCTAGTATATATTGCATCTCCATTAATTAAAGATAGTTATTTACATTGAAAGGTGAGGGGGTGGAATTGCCTTGCTGGCAGAGTGAATCCCAAATGGCTCAGGCATCTCCGTATTGTTTATCCATGTCTGCAGAGAGACTCCTGAAGGACAAACATTCTGACTTCTGCTCCCCTGCATAGTATTTTAAGAAGGCTAGTCTATATATAATCATGCCAGGACAAAGAGAAATTATCTAACACAGAAAACTGTTGACATGTTAGAAAATGCTTACTCTGTGATGCAGTTCTTCTCCACTTATAGCAAATTGCTTCTCAGTTTTATGTATACATTTGCAACTGAGAAGAACAAAGAAAAATAACTGAATCTAGTACATTTTGTGTTCGTTCTAGCATAAAACTATGAAGTCAACTACTATATCTCTCCTTGTCTAAGAGAATTTGCAAAGAAATAGTGTTCCATTGGTTTATCACCGCTACTAAAGCTTACAGTGAATTCTTCAGCAAAAGTTCTTTTAGGTTTTTGGTTTTTATATAAAACGCGAAGCTCTGTAAGGAAGAAACAGTGAGCAAGAAATATCAAGACTTATGTACAGCGTAGCTTCTTTAGCAGAACTGGCTTTGTACGTTGTGTACACTGCTAAGGAAGACTGAGTTGTGTTAACAGCCTATTTGTTATTGATATCTTGTAGCCATCCACAAAAGTCTACGTATTTCCATCTGAGTGCTTTGTATAGTCATGTATTTTTCACTGGCACACCTAACTGAGCACTGCAGGAGAAGTGCTTCCTTTTCATTCCTTTTCTTGCCTAACATTTACTCCCTAAGCCATTCATGTAGCTTCCTTCCCTTCCCCTATGCATTAGTGTCAAATGCTGCTCTTTTAAGTAACTGAATTGCCTGGAGTTTGTCTGTTATTGATACCTTTTGGTATACAGAAGGATTTGTTCATTGTGCTGAATTTTATAACCAATTCTTGAGGCAGCAACATCTCCTGAGGGTTCTCATCCTGCAGGAAAAAGTGACTACAGTCATTCCCCAACCCTAGCAGTGTGGAGGTGGTTGAGATCTGTCAAGGAGAGGTAAAGAAGAAACGGCTTTGTCATACACTCCTACATGCTTCAAAACACAGGCATGTTACTTATTTGCGGTGAGCAGGAATAACCAACCTTTCCAGTGAGAAGTTATACTCCCCTCAGCTTTTCTGTTATACAGGGTCTTCTGAGTAAATAGTTGTCATAGAATTTCAATAAAACTGCCGGTTTAGAAGCACTTAAATGCTTGACTGTCGTACACCATGAAAATAACATTATGGCTCCTGTGTCAACTCTGCCATTGTTCTGTGCCCCATATGGCTCATCCATATCTATCAGCCCAGCACATTCCTGCCTTTCTCCATATGTATCCCTTTCCTGGACAAGGCAGCCCACAGAGCAAGGCACTAACTGGTGGGCCATCAGTGGAGAGATATTTTTCGTGTAGGGCATGAAGAGGAAAATATACCCGCATGTAACACATACACAAAGATCAATTCCATTAAATACCTTCTTCTATACTGAAAACCATAAAGTCCAAATATGCCCTGAGCCACTGTGCTCATCTCTACCAGTAGGTAAAAAGGCGGTCCATAGTAAAGCACAGGTGTTGCTGGTGGCATCGTTTTGACACAAAGGAGGCCACAGCTAGAGGCACTGCCTGAATAGCTGGAATCAGGTTTAGCGTTCCTAGCCACATGACATGCCACTCATCCCCTGTAGAAGCCTGGGGACATGTGCTGACCTACACCAGCAGCAGAGCTTGCCCTACATGCGGAGGGGGAAAGCTCATCTGTTTGCTTATACTGGGCCCCCACCCACATGATTTGCTTCACTCCACAGGAGAGGCTCGTGATGCCTTGCAGTAACTGCAAACAGAGCACAGGTGCTCACACTGAAGATGTTCTCCTGTGTCCTGCTTTCCTTGATCTGCAGTTAGAACCTTTCTGTGGTTCTTACCTGAGATAAATCTCCAGTGTATCGCTTTCCCTATGTTTGAACCCAGAAGTTACATAGCATAATAGAATTGAGCATTAGCATTTATTCACATAAAAATAGCAGGCATTCTCTTCTATACGTTTGTTTTCTCTTGCTGCAGTCAGAACGATCTCCTGGCTGCGACTGTACCTGAGTGAGAGAGTGGCTGTCCTCAGCCCACTCCTACAAACACAACAGCTGCTGCTCATGGTGCTGTTTCTAAACCCAGTTAGGGCAGAATGAGTTAAGTGCTGGGTGCATTTAGGTGTTGGGTTTGCTTGGTTTTGTCACTCACGACAATTTGACAGCTGCCATGATTGTACACTCAGAGAGTTGCTCTCAGGGCTGGCAGCAGGGGCAGCCGTGTGGCACCAGGGCAGTGTGTGACCTGAAGGACTCTCTGGGGAGCCCCACTGTTGTGCAGTGTGCATTTTCCCCTTAAGACTGTGTTTCAGCTGTGCTTAATAATTCATATTCATAATTCAATTACTGTAAGCTTAAATTCATTGTTTGAAATAGTACTTGGGTTTAACACTATTTCAATACATCTTTGTTATTTGAAATCAATTCATAAAACTCTTTACATCTACTATTTACATTAACCTTAATTCAAAGTCTTAGCTGAATCAATATTTAGTAGGTTTCAGCAATCTGTCCAAGTCTATTTACATAGGGAAAATACTGCTTGCACCACTGTGTTTGAAGCAAGAGCACCAGCAGAGCCTGTGAGAGCTGCCAGGACAGGGGTGACAGGCTCTGGGAGTAACAGGCCCCAGGTCAGCACTGTGCTGCTGCTGGGCTCTGTCAGCACACACACCCGCAATGCACCTCCTAGCTGCTTACTGTACAGCTCTGATCCACCTTTTTAATCAAATTTCATCTGTTGAATAACATCAGTGGTTTCCTGAAAAGTCAATACTATTTTATTTTATGCAGAACAGAAGCAAGTTAAGGGGAATGTTTGTTCACAGCAACTCATAATGGGGAGGTGAGTATAAAAGCATATGCGTATCTTGGAATGATTTTTCTTCCTTTCACACAAGACCTCTATTTATGAACAAAGCTTTTTTCATTGGCCTTTGTTAACACTGTAATTAATGCACTATGTCAAACTTACGCACACAGAAAATCAGGTTGTTCTAATTTTGAAGAATTCCTTTATATCATAACAAGAGAAATACGAGGAGAAGTCTTTGTCTGAAAGAACCACTTAAGAACCATCCTTAAACCATTAAAAATTGGATATCTTACCTCATGTTTCTAAGTATCTGATAATACTTACTGCTTTACAACCTTTTCAGTGGCACAGTGATACATTATAGACAAACCTTTTCATTTTGATGGACTCAAATGTTGGCAGAAACATCTCCTGTTGTTCCAAAGCTCTTTAGCTGGTAAGAGAAAAGCAACAGGTAACATTCATTGTGCAATACCCAAGATCAAACAGGGATTTTGCCACACTTAATTACGAAGAATATAAACAGAACAATCAACACAAGCTGTCATTCCTAATTAGCTGTTAGGCAGGGGGATTTACCACAGCCAGTATTGGTGTTATCACTTTGTTGTAGAAATGCCAAGTCATGGCCTGAAATAGTGATTGAACACCTGGTGGGAAGGTAGGGCCAACACAGGGAAGCTCAGATGCATGTAACGCCCCTGAGTGACTAGATGGGATGAAGCAAGGATCCACCCCTTCCCATACCTCATTTAGGGCTGGCAGTGGAGGCCAAAGTATCTCATTGTGGTTCTCTATGCGTTTGAGGTCTTTTGATGGTAAGTAGCCTCTTTTGTATTTTTTTTTTATTATTATTATTATTTTTTTTTTAGTGTTTATTGCTGTTGTATTTGAGCAAGTAGCCTTGCTGTAGCCTGAGTTCTTGTTGTTCTGTAGTTATTACTGTGCTTTCCTTTGTGTTATGCACCTGTAGTTAAGTCAAAGTTCAAAAACAAATGGTATTCCTATATCTTCATTGTTTTGTACACTTTTTTCAATTTCAGTGCTGTTTCAAGAGTTAGTTAGTAATGACTACTTCACCCTTTGACTGTATGGTAATAAACAAAGTGATGTTGTATTTTGGTATTCTGACAGCTTGAGGCGTTGGTGGTCTCAGGGTAAGATATTGAGCATATCTTTATTTTGTTTACTAGAAATAAAATGACTTGCAGCAACATCTACCATCAAAAATGGTAGAAATTGACTAAGTAAATATTTAAAAACTGGCTGGAATAACAAAGGTCTTTAGATGGGAAAAGTAGGCTGGCTGCTTTCTATCTAAACTTTCTCCTCAGCAATGTAATCTAAGAAAGCATAAACAGGCACTGATCAGTCTTCACATACTGCGTGGAAACTGCAGAGCTGGATGCTTTTAGCCGTAGGACTCTGTATGGACTGGCTGTCCGCATGACTCTCTTAAGGAGCAGTCAAAAGATGTGTAGTGCTGTGAGCCCCTCTCTTTCCTTCTTCAGCCTGAAGAAAGGTTGATAAGAGTTTAAAGGACTCCAGGGCCTATGCTGGGCTGTGACCTGCTGACTGCTCAGAAGTGTGCCTGTGTATGCTTGTACAGTGCTACTGCCATTGTTAAATTAAATGTGTTAAGTGAAACCAGCCGGCATGGCACTCACCCTGGAGGCTGTGGGTGCTTTGGACTTGAGTCAGATAATGTATCTGTCACATTAAGGAAACCTTCTGTATTTCATTAATTTGTCATGAAGTAAGAGAAAGCTGGATCTAACAAACTTGGGCCGAGCAACAGTAAGCAGAAACAGTGGCCGAGCTTCCAGCACAGAGACTTTGGTAAATGAGGTTTTTATAGCTAGAAGAAAAAATGGTTGATTCTACCTCCTCGTATTCCAGAGCTTTTTCAAATTCTGAACCAACTCTTGGACAAGGTAGAAAGTTGTTCTATTAAGCAGAGGTTGCAACATTTCCTAAGGTCTCTCCTTTCTGTACTCCCCCCCCAAAAATGATAGCTGCTAATTCAAGCAAATGAACGTTGCAATGGGGTGGATCAAGTGAAGTGTGCCATTGGCAAGGCATTGCTATTTTTCTAGGAGATTCCTATCGGCTGTGTGAGCGATTCTGGTCACACTGGCAGAGCAGCTGGTAACCAGCTGTCCTTTTGCTTCACCTGGAGCAGCGTTAGGGAGCTCAGAGCTCTACAGCACCTTGCTGGCAGGGACCCTCTGTCTCACTGGCACAGTAACTCAGGTCTGGCTTGCCATATATTTCAATCTAGCTGACATATGGCGGTAAAATTAATCAATAGCCAATGACTCCACTGAAGTGATGTTAAAATGTGCAGTGTGCCATTATAGAGCACCTGATTTGCTGCTGTCCTTTAGGTAGGGCCATAAGAACTTGCTTTCACCATTGCTGTTTAAGTGGACATCACTGCACGTCCATCTCCATGCTAGGCTGGGAGCTGTGGGGAGGCAGCCACGTGCTGACCAGAAAGTAATGCTGTGGTGTGTTGGGGCAAACTCATGTCAGTGTCGAGCACATCCTACAGTCACGTATCTGTGGGCTGAATTCAATCTTATTTCTGGAATCCAGTATTTACTTTAAGAACTTAATGAATTTGACTAATATGCAGAAAGCTTTAAAGATGCCCCGTGTTTCTTCTCCATCCTTCTACCCACAGGTGATAGCTGCGGCAGCTGAACACCTTTAGGCATCCTGACCTTAGGAAGTATTTCCCCATTTATGTCATTTTCAAATGATGTAGCCTAATAAAACAGCAAGTCATGTCCGTTTTGTTTTTTTACTTTTTTGGACATGTTCTTTCAGCAGGCTTTTTAGGGTGTGTATTAAGTACTCTTGCTTCTGCCTTCTTACTTTACTTATGACTCTTTGTCCCTGAATTTCAAGTGTGATCTTTGATAGTATCGTAATAAAGGGAAAAAAACCTTTGAACCTCAACCAGCAGGTGAGAACTTATGATTATTGTTGTTTCCTTTTTGAAAAAAAAAAAGTCACCAAAAAGAAAAAGGAATATAAAAAGAGACATTAAGTCCAAAAGACTTTTTTTTTTTTTTTTTTTTTGCAGTGTAGATACAGTTTTCAAACGCTTTGTTCTCAGCTAAGTAATACATGGCATTTAAGTAACTAAAAATATAAATAATAAACATTTTGTAATTCTGATTCTGAAATAGCGATGCTGAAGGAAACTCTTTGAAGTGTGGATAGTCTTCCCCCCCCCCTCCCAACCATGGCCTCTTCCCCCTGAATCTTCATCAGATCTCACAGAACACTTTGCTGATTCCCCAGAGACACTTTTGGTTCAGTGAAGATTCCAGCTAGAGTAAATAAAGATGTTTTTAGCTGAGTTTCTGGGATAGTGCTATATTGAAATTGCACATGGTTCAGTTTTCCAGTTTTTCACTGTTCTGTTATTTAAGCTTCAAAGTTCAGTACACTGAAGATCTATTCATAATTTATAGCTCAACTGAGTATCTCTTTCCCTTATTTAAGTTCTCAGACAAGTAGAAGAGACAGATGCTTTGAGCAGCATGTACATATACACAGTGCTTGTGGAAACAACCTCAGGCTAGGTATCCAAGCCTGACCAGTAGGTTAGCGGTCTTCTCTTCTGGAAAGCCCATCTGGAAGGAGCTGGGCCCTTTAGAAGGTCAGCTGCAATGAAATAGTTGGCACCTAAAAGGTTTTAGGTTGGCACCTAAAACCTTTCCTGGAGGTGGTTCTCCAGTATTTATCTACAGACCAAGTCACCTCCTGGGAGTTATTGTACTAACCAGTAAGTGTGCTTCAGGTTGTGATAGTGGAAAGTCAGTCTGTAGACTAAAAGGGAGTGTTTGCGTCTATTTTTCCTAAATTTTCGGAGTCTGTCAACTGTGTGACAACATGGGAATGGAGCACACAGGAGGGAGGAGGTTATGAGATGTGAACTCCCGTTGTTCAGGAGTGAGGTTCCAATCATAAAGTTCTTGATTCTTGCTAGTAGGGCAGATGCCTGTGTAAAGCCCCATTTGAGATAATGGGATTCTGTGTCGGTCGATGAACCTGCATTTGTACATCAATATCATGAGATCAGAGTCTGACATTTCTCCTTGGAAAAAGGTACTCTGGGCTATTAAACACCCTCAGCCACCCAGGCCCAATGACCTGTACTTTTCAGCACCTATGCAAATACCAGCAAGCTGACCTTTATTATTTGCTGGATTAGAAATAATTTAGAAGAGCAAGATTTTTTTTATTTGAAAGTGCCAGGATAGAAAGGCTTTTAGGAGAAGTGTTATAAGAAAGAGCAAATCCATAGAATATTAACATTACCGATTAGTTTAAAACATCAAGTAGAATAATCCATTATTTTAATTAGTTTTCCAGATTGCTGGCAAAAATAACAGAGGTACTATCTGTGGAGAAGTAAATGCCTCCTTGTAATTGTTTTGGATTTTGCTCTAACCTTTAATGAATTTATTCTTGTAATGAGAAGAACACCATTTTTATTCCTGCACGTATGTTAAGGAAGTTCACATCAAAGAATGAGGCATCTGGGAACTCAGCAGAGTTTTGCTTTGACAAATGACCTCATTGACTACGTTGACAAACACTGACTGTACTGACAAATGGCCAGAGCACAGCTGTTCTCCTAGCTGGCAGTGCTGATTCCAGCCATCACTGCCTCTATCCACTGTTGCTGCCCCTTTCCTGCTGCCCCAATGGGGAAATGTGTGTGAGCTCTCTCATCTGCAGCAGACAAAACAAGAAAGGAAAAATCGTACTGCATATTTCAACTGCTTACTGATTTCATTTTATTTTTTACCTCAACTAAGGTATCTCACCCTTACAGGCCCCAGGGCCCTCCTGTGTGTGTCCTGGGAGGGATGAGGAGGGAGATGGAACGTGTAGAAGTGAGTGACAGAGGGAAGTCAAACCCAAAGGTGGCCTTTTTGTAAAAATACAGTTGTCATTGTGAAGGTGTCCACATGCAAGGAGTACTTTGCTCCAGAAGTGAACAAATGCTGGAATTGCCTTCTGTAATGCAAAATAACAGCGTGGCTAACATTGGTCTTGACGCAATTCAATTGCTTAGTTTCCCAGTGGCTGCTTTATGATAAAGAAAATGATGTAGGGAAAAGTCTTTTGGTATGCATTTGTGCATTCACATAAGCACCAAATGAAAGCCAGCTATTCCATGGATTCTCTCTGTTTAAATATAGCATTGTAATTTCAGGATTTGGATTTTTTTTTTTTTTTTTTTAACTCAAAAATTGCAAAATTTCATTGGTAAATGGCTCTCTCATATTATGAAAGCATTGGTTTGGATGTAGATGTTACCCTGTGGGTTTCAGAGAGATGAGGAGGGGAGAGAGGGTGAAAGAATTGCTGGCTGGGGGAAAAGAAAAGCAGATTTAAGATACCGAGGATGGCATGCATATATAATATAGCCAGGGAGAAGGAGATAGAGGAGTAAAAGTATGCATGAGAGGGAAGCTCATTTAATGTTGGTCCTGTTGATTTTTGCCCTGTATTTAATCTGAGGAGCACTGGCTTTTTCCTTTGGTGTTTAGTGCAAGGTCAACGATTTTTAAAATGCTGTCTGTGAAACTTCTCTCAGTTGCCATCCTCCTCTCAGCTTCTGCACTCTGAACTCTGGTCTGTTTCAGCCTCCTGCCAACCCTGTTCATCCATTTCATATTTTAGTGCCTATTGGTGATTTTTTTGCCCTTGACAGGTGGCATGCAGACAGTAAAATCTGTTTTTTCCCATTTTTGCTTACTCATGTCTTTGTTTGGGCTGTCTGACAATGCTT